TGATGAGAGGAGGGATAAGGAGTCTTTTCGGTTCCTCTTGCATTACTGACAAAGAATATGCTTCCCCCACCTGAGCCAGGGCCTGGTGATATACGCCTTTTTCCTTCTTCAGGAGCCAGATGGGGGGCTGGTTGTATTGAGTGGAGGGGGCACCTCTGGCCGGATGGCATTCCTCATGTCGGTGAGCACCCTGGTCCCCGGTTTTCTTCCCTCTCCACTTCTTGAGGTGACCCTCAGGACCATAAAGATCACCATAACTGAGCTCCCAGGTGCCCCCCTCACTCGACCTGGACTCTAAGCCCGGCTCTCTCTCTCTTCCAAAAGCTAGGCGTCACCATGAAGTCCCATTTCTTCTGAGCCCATCTGAGTCTCACCAGTTTGTTGTCAATGTCTCTATATCCCATGCACCGCCAACTAATCATCCCCCAAGTGGCAGCTTTAAGCGCCAGATTTCATGTAGGACTGGGTTAAGCACTGGTCTGAGAGAATCATTACATAGTCTCCGTCCTCTAGGAGTTGAAAATCCGAATTGTTTCTTCTCTGTCATTACCCCTTCACATCCTCTCCCCCTTGACAGGTGTCCTTTAATCAGCTGATGAAGGGTCTGGGACAGAAACCTCTACACCTACCTCATTGCAGGGGGTGACAGGTAAGCCAAGTTAGGCTGTGAGTATTTTGTTTGGCCTGAATAGTGCTTCTTAGGCAGAGATTGTGTCCAGCTTGCCTTAGTCCCCCATTCCTTATTGCCTTACACTTGGTCCACTTTACCTACTTATGTCGCCTGACCGGCTGTTGTAGGTATTTGGGTTTTTCAACTCTATGGAGTGTCTGTCATGGTGCCCAGCAAACAGTGGGCACTCATTCAATGATAGTTTTCCCTTTATTCCCATCTCTTAATGTAGCCTGCCCTAATAAACCATAGGCTTCTGCTTCCCAGCCAGTGCCACTGACCTCGAGTCTGTCCTCTTAGGTCTGTGGTGGCCTCTAGGGAGGGGACGGAAGATAGTGCCTTGCACGGGATTGAGGAACTGAAGAAGGTCTGTGCTTCCCACTGATACTTGACCAGAGACTTCTATCTGTTCCTTCTCATGGGGACATAAAAGCCCCAGCATTCAGCCAAAGCCTATTCCCTCCCTCCCCTGTTCCTGGCCCCGATGTCCTCACAGAGTAGGTTTGTGCCCTGGAATCCTCCCAGTTACACTGCGTTGTCCATCCTCCTCCCCTAGGTGGCTGCCGGGAAAAAGAGGGTGATTGTCGTTGGCATTTCTGTGGGACTCTCTGTGAGTAGAAAGATGGGTTGAGTGGATGAACTTTAGAGAGAGGAAGTGAGTGGGAATGCAATAGCATGGGAGATAGATCAATGAGGTGGGTGCTAGAAAGCAGGAATTTTGCTCAAGGAATCTTGGTTTGTGTTTCACCAACTTGGATCGAGTTGTATGAATGTGGGAAGATGGGGAAGGGATTCTATTTCAGAATAACTGTGTATCAATCAATCAGCAACCAAGGTAGGTGGACCAGTCCCAGGGTAAGCAAACTATACTGGCTGGCCAATGCAGCTAGCTGCCTGTTTTTTAAATTTTTTTTTGAGATGGAGTCTCGCTCTGTCACCCAGGCTGCAGTGCATTGGCGTGATCTCAGCTCGCTGCAGCCTCCACCTCCCATGCTCAGATGTGGTTCTGTGCATGAGCTGCCTGGAGGGAATGTTACAGAAAAATAAAGAAGATTCTTAGTTCCTTGTGTAAGAGGTCTGGTTTTGTAGGTTTGGAATAAGGCCCTGAAATATCTATTTTTTGAAAGCATCCCTGGAGATTCTGATACACAGCCAGGTAGGGGAAACTCTGCTAAATAGACCATTGGAGTGGGCCACCTGACAAAGCTGAGGGCTTCCTGACACCAGAGGGATACGGCAGAGGCTTGTTGATGATTTTAGAGCAGCTTTTTGTATTTAGCAGCGGTCTTGGGAAAGGAGACCAGTGGGTTTTTCAAAGGTGCTTTTCCACCTCCCAGATTCTAGGCTGTATAATTCATGTGATGGTGTAAAGGGATCTGAAATACCCTAACCCTGATCCTTTTCATGGGGGGCCCTCCTTCACC